CTCATGGGCTAGTAACTGAATTGTTCTTCTGGGCCTGGCTCATGTGATCCTACCTGTGCAGTACTTTTTCTTACACAGCTGAGCAACCATAAACAAAAATGCCAAGATCCAGTGTGCTTCCAGGGTCTTAAGAGATTGGATTTTCCAATTGGAGACACTCAATTAATGAAGCTTATACATATGTCCCCAAATCTGAGCAGCTCGCACATCTGAAACATTTCTGGTCTCAAGCAATTAGGGATACCCAGCTTTTATTATACAGCTCTCTCCCTTTGTCCAGTTCTTGCTTGTGAACCCCCACAGCCTGTTCCAGCAGGCTATAACTGTTTGTCAAGGGGTCTCAACTTTCCCAACTAAGCCCCAGGTTCATTGAGGCTTAGAGAGTTTGTCAGTCGTCATGCCTCCATCGAGGCTACTGAAGGTACAGTAAGGACCCTTCCTTCTAATGACTGTGTCATCAGACAATGGGCTAAGGTACAGCAAGGGCCCTTCTAATGACTGTGTAGTCAGACAATGGGCTAAGGTACAGCAAGGACCCTTCTAATGACTGTGTAGTCAGACAATGGGCATTTAGCATTTTTTTTTTTTTTTGAGTTGGAGGCAGAGCAAAGGGATGTGTTATACTGAAAGTTTGGTCATGGGCCACAAAGTTAGGTTGCATGCTGTGAAAGACAGTTTTAGAAGGGACTTACTGTCTTTTCCTTTGAGAGGACAACCTTTACTTATTAGTAGCTATATAGATCTCTGTGTGGAGGCTGCATTTACATTTCAGAGGAGCTTCTTAGGGTCTGGAGAGATTGCTTAGTATGTAAAGTAGAGTACTTTTCTAGCAAAGGACCAGAGTTCGTTCCCAGCACTCACATCAGGCAGCTCTCAACTGCTTGTAAATATAGCTCCAGGGCATCCAGGTCCCTCTTCCAGTCTCTGCAGGTACCTACACTCCTGTGCACATACCCACACACAGATATACATATAGTTAAATGTCTTTTTTTTTTTTTTAAAGAGGAGCTTTTTAGAACACTAAGAACTTGAAATGAGTGTTGGACACTTATGTTTCCAACATCATGAGATCACTGTAGGAATCCAGGCAACATGCTTTTTGGCTCAGGTACATTACAGAACTAAACTTAAAGTGATCTTAGGGTCATGTGGTGTCTAATCCTTTTCTCTCTGTGAATAACTGAAAATTGATTTTACTCGGTAGTGGTTACATTTTTACAAAAGCTGACCTTGGCAGTATTTGTTCCTGACAGTGTGTCATCACCAGAATGTATGTACATCAGAGAAAGTGTCTTGCCGGAACATTACCTGAGTGATGGGTCTCTTTTTTCTACTTGAAACACATTTAAAACTAGAAATCACCTGAAGCTCAGGAGAGCTCTTGGGCCTTCAAATTGTAGTTAATAAATTAGTGTGTTGACTCTCATGCAGGTTTTTTGCAACAATGTCCAGAGACAAGTTAAATCTGCTAATAAGTGTTCAGGTCTGAGTGGCTTTCTCCTTCTTCAAATCAAATGTCGTGACTTCAAACTCCTTGACTGGCAGCTGGATCGCAGTAAAGTGCTATCTCCTGAGGCCTTTCACAGACCAGGCAAGCAGTCTGGCGTGGAGCTAGGGAGCAGCGCTGGTTTCTGAACACTGACTCTGCAGTGTTTTGTTTCTCTACAACTTGAAAATTCACCTTTGTGTTTGAAGCCCCTCCATACCAACCCTGGCCTGTGTCAGTGTGCGAGGAAGATGGCTGTGAGTCCCTCACAGTTCATTAGCTGCTACCATACTCGTAAGAGGGACACGTTTTAAATTATGTCTGTCCTTTCTAGACCAGAGCAACCCAGCAATAAGTGAGAGACCTTTGGCTCCCCATCCAATCAAGATCACTAAGACAGCAACTCCTAAGAGCCCAGCCGTGAACATCTTGCTAGAGAGTCCCTGCAATGCCAAGTAAGTGGCAGTGACACTATCATGATCGCTAGTTGGTGGCATTGGGTGCAGTTAAATTCTAAATCCCTTTAGTTCGAATATGGCAGAAGTTGTTTGGAGCAAGTTCTTGCAAACTTTGATGGGTCACTAAAGCGGTGGTTCTGTGTAGGCATTGAACACTTGCATGGAAAGGAAGCCTCCAGTACCTGGCAGCCTTTAGCTAGCTTCCACTCTGTCATGTACAAATTGTGCTGACACTTAGTGTGAGGTTTATTTCATCTGCAAAGCAGGAATGCCTGCAGTGTTGAGGATTAGTGTGGTAGGAAGAGAAGTAGGCAGTGATGGTAGGATGCTGAGTTTTGTTCAGTATTAGGAGGACAAACCATCATGGTACAGGATCAGCTCACCCTTGCCTACATTTAAATGCCTTCCTTCTTCTGTGTTCTCAGCTCACTGGATGAAAGTGGGGTAACAGAAGAGGAATCAGAGAAAAGGGAGGCTCCCTTTCCCTCCGCCGAAGAAGATCTGCATCAGAAAGAAGGCTGGACTCCCCTCTTTGTCCCACCAAGGATGAGGCACAGCATTGGTGATTACTGCAGCCGATTTGAGCAGTTCCTACGGATCATATCTCATGAGGCTATAGGCTCCTTCAACCCATGGCTAATAGCTGAAAGGTCAGTAAAATTTCTGTGTCTCTGCTTACAGGCCAAGGGCCAAATTTTAGACTTGAAGAGGAGCTGGTGGAAGGACTAGCTGAGGTCTTAATCTTTGCTCTGGGGTTCCAGTGGCTAGTGGGAAGCCGCCTCTGTGAACTGCTCTTTTTCAGATGCAGGAGGCCATAAGAACATCATGGGCTTTGTCACCTGGAGGAGCAGAGTGCCCTGCAGTCTCCACTCAGGCAGACTGTCAGGCCAAACTCAGGTTGCTATAAAATACTGTAGACTGAGGGACTTAAAACAACAAGAATGTCTTTCGAAGTCTGGAGGCTGGGAGTTATCTAAGATCAAAGGGTCTGGTGGGTGTCCCCTTCCTGGCTGTCAAACAGTTGCCTTTGTGCTCTATCTTCTAGTTACAGAGGTTCGCTATCCCTTCCTCTTGGGGCACGATCCCCATCATGAGGACTCTTCCCTGTGACCTCATTTGAATTTATTACCTTCCAGGCTCAGCCCATCATATTGAGAGTCAGGGCTTCAGTGACTCAAGTCAGGGCTGATTTCTTGATGCTGTTGTTGAGGATTTTACTCCATCAGGGAGCACAAGTATTGGTGGGCAAGAAATAGCCATTATCAGGTCCTCCTCATATGTGAGACACTGGCCTTGACACGCAGCTAACTTCTGGGAGCACTGTTCTTCATTCACTGCTCTCCTGTACCCCCAAGTTCCTCCTCCAAGTACTGCTTTAGTACAAAGTGCAAGGTGTTTTTATCATTGAGCAAAATAGTAGATTATTTGTATTTTTCTTAAGTTTTAAACATGCTTATTTTCATTCTTGGATTATATATTTATGAGCTTTTGATATCCTGCACTGCTTCTCCTTAAGTTATTGGAGCCCATGTGCTGCTCTGGGCAAGGTGTACACTAAGGAAGAAGACGTAGGACTTCAGGGAATCTGGATTCCAACATGGGACATCCAGAAAAATGGCAAAACCACTTCAAAAGAAATTGCCCTTCAGCACAGGATGCAGCCAGTTCAGATTGGAAGAGGAAGACAGGTCAGGAGGGATGATGCTTTGAGGCAGAGTGAAGACAGTTGAAAGGAAACCCCGTGTCATACGCCACTGCTGTGCCGAGTGATTGAGAGGTGCCCTTATGTTTCCCTCGTAGTTGAGTGGAGAAGCAGTGGTAGGAATTTAGAGAGCGAAGCAGATACAAAGACAAGGTGGTCATTCCAGAAATGACACATTTCTGCTTCCAGAAATGACATCCGTGATTTGAACCACTTCTCCCCCGCCATCCCCCTGAGGATAACTGTTAATAGAAACTCTGAATTAAAAATAAAATGTATACACTTGAAGGCATCTAGATACTAACTAGGTAATAAAGAATAACTAGGTCAGGACTGTGGAGAAGACAGGCCCACGGTGTGGTGCTGAATGGTTTGCTCTGGAGGTAAATGTATCCACAGCCTCCTCATGTCAGAAGACAGAGGTTGGAATCCAGTGGTGCCAAGCTACTGCCTTGGGAAGCTTCTTCACTTCATTGACGGTGGTGCTGGTATCGAACCCAGGACCTTGTACATTCTAGGCTGAGCTACATCTACTGCTGAGCTACATCCCCAGGCCTTGCATTCCTTCTGATTGAGGCCTTGAAAGGTTACATTCTCTGTAAGTTCTGGTGGCCTGGATATATAGGTCTTCTTATGGACATCACTCAATTCTGCCTCTTCTTAGTAGCCAAGGTGACTCTAGATACTCTTGTTCCCCAGCCTCCATATGTAACCGAACATGTATTTTCTCTGGAGGAAAATCATACCATCATGGCAGACTTAATTTATTTCTATAATTTTCAGCGAACAGTGTCTAATTTATAGTGAAAATACCCAGGCAAGAGAGTGACAATTGTAACAGCACATCCACAGCAGCTCCAAGTATTGAAGCTGTTTACAGACTCAAATAACTTGTCTGGTAATAGAAATAAAAGACACAACTTAGAATTTTGCCAGAGGACTAGGAACTAATCAAAATTCAAGGATAAAAAAATACACTTTCTGAAATAAAGAATGTATTGGATAGGAAGAGAACTTTGGAGCTTGGAATGTGGAAATATATATCTCCAGAGTAGTGGAGAAAGGCAAAATTAAAGATGAAAAGTAAAGGCGGGAGGATTGGGAACATAGAAGACCAAACAATGTGGTCTAATATATGTGAGGAGAATAAGACAATGAGTCTGAAACAATATCCAATGACTATCATCCCGAAAGGAACAAGTCATGAAGACACAGGAAAACAAACCCCAAATAAGTCTGAATCTATCTCTGTATAATTTACTTAATAATTATAGAGGGGAAACTAGTGCTTTATAAGGAAGAAGCCTGCCAGACACCACCACAACTGAGTGGTCAAAACCAGCAGTCATAAGTAAAGGGGCAAGCACTGAGGGAGGGGACACAATAGCCCTCTTTTGGCATCTGTTCCAGAAATATGTAGCTGACAGTGATTGTAAGGGAATACTAGACAACTCCAGATCCGGGGACAGTGTAAGGAGAAAAAAAAAGAACTTTACTCTTTGAAAGTTTTATGGTCATGAAAAGAAGACTGAGGAACTTATTTTAAAACAAAGTCATCTAAAGAGACATGACAACTAAATAGCCTGGATTGGATCCTAAACTATAAAAAGTTTTAATGGCGTTAATTGGATGGTTGGCAAGGTTTGAATAAAGTCTGTAGGTAAGATTAGATAATGGTTTATAGTGACGTTACTGCAGCTGTCTGCAAGGTGTCTTTTCTAGGACACACTGAAGTTCTTGATGGATACCAGGTCTGCAGCGTACTCTTCAACAGTTTAAATGAAAAGGGCTGTGTGTTGCATGTGAATGCATATGCTTATATAGAGACATCTGGGATTTGGAGGACCTTGCCCTTTCCCACAGAGAAAGCATGCACCTCCACTGTGGCCAGCTTATTTATTTGCAGTTACCTCTAATGTCAGCCATCTCAAGAGCGAGGCCCATGTGTCTGTTTTGGTGTTCTTGCAGGGTTTGGGGATCTAGGTACTACCATCTCAGTATCTGGGAGAGCCAGGCCCCTCACTTTCTATTTGTTCTTCAGAAGTATCTTCACTCTTCTGGTGTCTGGATTGCCAAATAATTTCCAAGTTGATTTACTAGGTTTTCATGAATACTGAACAGCTCCGTGTTTGGCTGCCCACACCTTCAGCTGTGTCCTTTGTCTTCCAGTTTTTCAGATGAGCTGGTAGATGAAGCCCTGGGGGCCGTGGCTGCGGAGCTGCAGGATGTGTGTGAAGACTATGCAGAAGCTGTGTTCACCTCAGAGTTCCTAGAGGCCGCCGCATGAAAGCTGTCCAGGCAGGGCCCTCACAGCCCATGGGGAACCTTTGTTCTCAGCTGCCCACTGATGAGAAATGCCAGTGAGGTCATCCTCACTCCGTATTCTCTCATTGTCTTAGCAGTGGTTCTGGAAGTTACAACAGGGTGGGTTATGTTTTTTAGTGCCTGAGGAACATGAGAGGATTGTAATGATGCAATATTTTCCGGATGTATAATTTTCCTACTGAAATGGAGTGTTCATTCCTCTGACTCAGTTTGGAGATCAAAATGTTTTGAAAGGTAGTGGATGAAGACATTTTACATAGGAATCCCAGCCTCTACTGAACCACAGGGGAGGGCCAATCAGTACTAACCCAAGTGCAGTCACTGTTGGCTCCCGTGGTAAATGTGTTCCTCACATTGTCACTGGTGCTGCCCTAAGAAGGCACCTGTCCCTACTGGGTGACAACCAATATGGAATGCAAAGTGTAGTGATGCCACCTAGCCTCTGCTCATCAGCAGTCAGAGTAGGCAGCTCAGCACACAGGCCAAACACCTCCTTCTCCAAGGCTTTACTTCCTAGGGCATTTTCATGATTCCAGGAGTCATTTATTGCTGTTTGATACATACCGGTATGAAAAGCATTTCTCTGAATGCAGGGAAAGTTTGAGGATAGGAGAGGGTAGGCCTTCCCCATGCCAGCTCACTCTCCCAGAGAGCAGAAGGTCCTCTCCACACCACAGAGCATCCCTTCTAGAGGAGGGAGCCAAGTGGGTGACTGAAAGACTTTTGGACTTTCCAGGGGACCAAAGATGCCCACATGGCCTTTCGAAGGTTAGTGGGTCCTGGTGCTAAGGTTTTCAGAAACTTTGAATTGAGAAAAAGAAAAGGAATGTGTAAAAATAAGGCAACTGCTTGAAAAAAAAAAAGTTTCCTGGGCCAGTTATTTGTGTGAAGTTTAGTGAAAGAAATTGAAAAGCAAAGGGTGAGACATACCCAAGGACTCATGTGAATCTGGCTACTAGAGATGTCCCTAAGAGGCCTTCTGGGATTGTTTCTAAGGTACCAGAAGTTCAGGTGATGATTCAAGCTGCTTGGTCCCACTTAACTTGTGCAAAATTGATTTTTGTTTATTATTTTCTTGCTTAATGTTACATAACCTCAGAATGTAAAGGGCATTGAGGGATTCATAATCTTCAGTCTGGAGAGTTAAACATGTGCACTTGAGCCAGCAGAAGTACTTGTCATTGGTAGTATAAAGTCATTTGTGTGGTAGTTTTTACTGTGCTGATTTTTTAAAAAATAAACTCAGTATTTTAAACTGTGATCATGTCTATTTGAAATAATTTACATCTCCTTTTTCCCACAGGCAATGTGAAATGGGATTTACAGAAACCACTGAGAATACTTTTGTGTTTGATGTGAACATAGTGAACTATTTGCCACCTCAGAGAAAAATAAATGCTAATAAAACCTAACATTTATTGAGCACATACTAGAGTATTGCTCTAAAGGTGTTCCCTGCACTAACTTAATGCTTGTGTGCCCTTTGTGAGATAGATACCATCACGCCCCATTAATCAATGAGAGAATTTGGGCTAGCTAGCTTGTGTTCATGAGTTACACTCTGGTCATGGAGACAGTCAATCCTATGAAGATTGCTGTGTCACTAGATGCATGCTCCACCTCTCCTTGTCTCCAGCTACTGTGGTAGACACTGCTTCTGGAGCAGTGCCTTTGCTAAGTACTTCCTGCTGAGGCCTGTCCTTGCTGGTGACCTCCTGCACCAGGTGACACATTAGCTCAGGGAGATGAGCCTTGCCTCTGCCTTGTGCCCAGGGCCTGCTTCATAGCTCAGACTCTGCTGACCACGGTGAGACACAAAAGTTAACCACAAGAAATAAGGATTTGGAAATGGCAACTAAATCCTCTGACTCTAGACATTCCTGGATGCAGCCTTGTAGCCAGAGCACTGAGTTTTTGCTGTGTGAAAAAGGCTGAGCATATGTGAGTCGTCGTTTAATTCCCTTTGGTTTTCTCATGACCTGTTCACAGGCTGTTTTAGAGAGTCATGTGTAAGTTGAGTATGTTTGTGGTGCCCAAGCTCCCCACCCCACAGCCAACACCAGTTTGCTGAGATACCTGTGTGCTCTTTAGTGCTGCCTTCCATAGGCCAGCTTTCACTGCCAGGCCAGACTGTGTCTCACCCATTTAGTCCTTGACTCCAGTAAAGACTTGAGGGTAAGGATTCTGCCTAGCATATTGTTGCTGCTCTGTAGGTTCATTTGAATTAATGTATGGGGATGGATCACATCCAGTATAGTTCACAGATACGTGTTGGCATCGTGTAGCCCTAGCAGATGGCCATCTAGGAGGGTGCACATTGGTCCCTAGGGTCTACTGCTGTTGGCTTCCAACTCATTGTGGAAAACTTGTCTCCCACTACCTGGACTGGGGATGGGATGCACCAGCTGCTCCTGGGCCTTTATCTGGCTGTTCCTATTAATTGGACATGGGGCAGGCCCAGGGCTAGAGAACCTACAGACAATGTGAGTGGCGGGCAGGTGGGAGGGGGACCCCGGCCTCTTTTCCTTGGTATGGTTGCCCTTCCTGTACCAGGGTGGTGTGCTGGAAGAGGAACAAGGGTGTAAGAGAAAGTTCTCCCCCTCTTCTCCCCCACTAGATCCAGGTGCCTGCCTCCCTGAATTGGGTGGCTCCAGGAGAATGAGCAGAGGAGGTAGTGCTGTGGAGGGGACACAGTGGCTGCAGGTGCAGGAGTCCAAAGTGAAGCAGAAGGACCACATTCAGAAGCTCCTGTGTCCTCTGAGTGCAGATAGTGGCTTAGTTTGACACTGGTAGGAATTGCCTGTAACAGCTGAAAACCAAGGTGCACCCTTACTATGGCTCTGGTCACCATGGAGGTACCCTTTGGAGCAGTGGTTCTCCACCTTCCTAATGCTGTGACCCTTTAATACAGTTGCTCATGTTGTGCTGACCCCCCCACCATAAAATTAGTTTCACTGCTGCTTCATAACTAATTTTGCTACTATTATGAATCATAATGTAAATATCTTTTTTGATGGCCCTTGAGGGTCCCAACCCATAGGTTGAGAACCACTACTCTGGAAGGTTCCTCTAAGCAAGCCCCTGCTTCTTTGGGCCCAAGGGAAGCAGACGGCAGTGATCTAGCATGTGTCCTTCCCACTACTGACCTCCCATCAGCTGTCAGCTAGTGTCAGAGCTGTTTCTGGTCAGTTTCCACATGGGTGTGTATTGCAGTAGCCAACAGTGTGAGCCTGGGTCGGAAGGCTCCTGATAGCCATGTGTTTGCTCTGTGTGTACTCATGGCCTTTAGTAAGGGTCCCTCGCTCCAAAGCTGGACTTGCTTGCTGACTCCTGTGGGCAGCCCATCTTCTCCTCCCATGGAAGTGCTGTGCTGAGTCCTCTCTCTAGCCTGCCAGGCTTCTATCCTGTAACATAAGCCCTGTTCCGCCTTCACCAGTCCACCCAGAGCTTGCACACACCCTGTTAGGTGCCCCGCCTTGCCACAGCCCATCTTAGGATACTAAATGTGCCCCATCTCCCTTGCTGACTTTTTTTTTTTCATCAGCATTTCATGTATCCCCAACCAAGAATGGCCCTGGAGAAGAGACCTTAGCATCTCTCTCTTCAGTGGCTCCTGACCTGGCAGCAGTCTCCGGCCAGGATACCAGTGCTGAGGCCACAGCAGGAGCCAGCCTCTTCCCAGTAGAATCATTCTTTTCCCTGCCCTCCCAGGCCTACAGCTTTGGTCTCTCTCTTTCCCACTCCTCTGTGGGGAGCCTCTGAAGTCCTGCCCTGTGGTTTCTGAAGCACCTTTGCACTATCTGCAGCTCAACTGGAGGCACCATGGCAGTTTCTTGGGGGCAGGACTGAAGAGGCCGGCTTCCCACCTCCACCTTTTGTGCTCTGACAGCCCTTCTCTTGCACCATACCTTGTCCCCAGGCACTGTGGACCCTTTGCTTTCACTGCAGCCCTCCACCCTGTCCCCTTCTGCATTTTGGATTTCATACCTACACTCGCCAGGTGCCCTCCCCTGTCTCTATCCTAGTCCCTGCTCCCCTCCCCAGCCTAGACACACATTTTTCCTTCCCGATTTCTTTCCCAATCATCCTGCCCATGTGTCCATGCCTCTGACTTCCTGGTCTTGGTGAGGTCTCCTAAGACCTCCCATTCATGGGCTGCAGGTCACTGGCGTGTACTGAGAAGGCCCCTGTATGTTCCTGTCCCCAGCTGGGGTGGGGCCTTCGGTACCTCCAGTCTGCCTCTCAGTGCCTGAGAGTTCAAGGGCATGGGAGAATTCCAAGGCGCTTCTTATTGAGGAATCTGTGTTCCAGGGTAGGCAAGAGTACTTAAGGCCTCAGATTCACAAGTCACCAAGTCCAAGCTATATTTGACCTAGAAAAGCCTGGCAAACACTGGTTACTCAGGTGCACACAGGAAGCAGGGACCATGGAGACTGGGCCAGCTACCAGAATGTTTGCAGAATTCTTCAGAACCCTTAAGACCTTCAGGAGAGCCACAACTCCAAGGTACTCTGGGAGATCAGAGGGCTTTTTGTCATTACTGATACCCAATGGCATTATCCAGAGCAAAAGAGGCTGTACATGCACTTAGGTTTACCACTGCACATCTACCCATTGTCTAAAAACTCCCAGGTGTGCTGTTCTCTCTAGGTCAGATAGCAGCCCCCTTTATGTACCAGTAGTAGTTCAGGTGGTTTAAATTCCCTATAACTCCCACACCTTAGTTTCCTAGTCTGTAATGTGGACAAGAAATGATACCTGCCCAAGGTTATTGTGAAGATTAAAGGATATGGCCATGAAAACACAGAAATTAGCACCTGGCCATAAGTTCTGATATTTATTCACTGTTAGGATTCTTATAGAACCTGTTAGGAGAGAGCCTTGGCATGCACCAAGCATCTGGGCTCTGGAGTGTTCTGCCTCTTTCTTTTTTTCTACTCGCCATGCTCTTCCATCTGGACACCTGGCAGTCCTTTCCCAGCT